AGGCCTGGGCTTCATCCCCAGCAAGTCGTCCTGCAGGCCCTCAGAGAAAAGCAATAAGGAGTGGCAACAAATTTGAAATTAAGAGTCTTACCTCAGTCTTGCAAAAATCTTAAACTAACGTTAGAAAATAGAATCCAGTAAGACAGAAAAATTGCAATACATCATGGCCATATTAAATTTATTCTTTTTCTTTTGGTCTTTTTTTGAGACAGGGTCTCGCTATGCAGTTCGGGCTGGCCTTGAGCTCACTTTGTAGCCCAGGCAGGTCTCGAACTTGCAACGATCCTCCTGCCTCAGCCTCCTGAGTGCTGGGATTACAGGTGTACTCCACCGCACTCGGCATGTTAAATTTATTCTTTTTGTTTGTTTATTTTTTTGTTTTTTTTCCGGTACCAGGAATTGAACTCACAAGTTAGCGCTTGCCAGGCAGGTGCTATGCTGCTGAGCTAAATCCCCAGCCCCCCTAAATTTATTATTGATATTCAAATTTGTTTAACCTTTAAAAATTTGTCAACTTGTAGAGATAAACCCAAGTGAATGGAAAGACATAGGTTCTATGAAAACCTTGTAGAGAAATGTTCACAGCAGTCCTGTTTGTAATTATCAAAAAGTAGGAAGTTAGTGGATGAATTAAAATTGAAATGGTGATTATTCATTTAATGGGATATTGTTTTGTCATTAAAAAATGGAGAATCCATCCTACATCATGGATCAGATGTTATGCTAAATAAAATAACTTGCTATCAGTCACAGAAGATCACATCTTTTATATTTTGTGACTCATTGGTTTTGAGTGTCCAGATTGGGCAAATCCATAAAAACAGAAAGTAGACCAGTAGCTACGTAGGGTGGGAACAGTTTGGTGGTGATGAGGAGTGACTGTTGATTGGTACCGAGTTTATCGTAGGAGTGAGGAGCATGTTCTGGTGGTTGCACATATTGTCAGTACACTAAAAACTATTCAGGTTTTTTTTTTTTTTGTACCGGGAGTCAAACTCAGGACCTCATGCTTCCCAGGCAAGCACTGTGGCACTGAGCTAAATCCCCAGCGCATACCGTTCAGTTCTATACTTCAAAAAGTGGGATTTGAGCTGGGTATGTCTCAGAATGATACATGTATGTACTGCCAGAGTTTGAGCCTAGCCTTGGCAGTTTAGCGAGACCCTGCCTCACAGTAAAAACTAAAACAGGACTAGGGATGTAGCTCAGTGTAAAGGCTCTGTGCTCACTACCCAGTACCCCCCCCCCC